GAAGCCTCAAATGGAATCACAATCATCAAAACACTTAGAATAACTTGAGAGAGTTCTACACTTCATGAAATCGGCTAGCCCTCTTCTTCACTTTCTAATGTGATTCTAGTGGCCGATTTTTGTCAAGAATAAGATCTTTATATAGTGTTACAATTAGGGTAAATCCTTAATTGTCATGGCTTTCCATTTCCTTGGATCCATGGGTTCAAATACACCATGGAGCATCCATGGACCATCCTATGGGTTTTATCCCAACTTGATTATCCATGGAGCATTAGCCCACTATATAAGTATGGATGATTTACACAATCAACCCATATATTTAATTAGTCTTCTTTTGATCACTTAATTAATCCTAGATTAACTCTTGATCAATACTAATGAAATAATCTTATTATTCTTATTATTAATATACTAGAACTTATAATATATTAATAACCATAAGTGTCTTATTTCTCTCATTATAGTCTATCCAAGTGCATGATGGTATGCAACCTAAATGGACCATGCCGGGTCGGGTCAAGTCTTACCAATTATAGTTATGGACTTAGACATTAATCCAACACTTATCTCGCACCCTCACCTAATGGTATCCAGACCACAAATCGATCTTGGAGAACCAATATGCTCCATGCAACTGGTTGAACAGATCGTCGATCCTCGGTAACGGGTAACGGTTCTTGACCGTCAGCTTGTTCAACTCCCGGTAATCAATGCACATCCGGTGTGAACCATCCTTCTTCTTTACAAACAGAATGGGCGCTCCCCATGGCGAGCTACTCGGCCGAATAAACCCTTTCCCCAGCAGCTCCTGAAGCTGCGAGGATAACTCTTGCATCTCTGGAGGTGCAAGACGATAAGGCACCTTAGCGATAGGCGCGGCCCCCGGGACCAAATCAATACCGAACTCTACTTGCCTCACGGTAGGCACCCCCGGCAACTCCTCTGGAAAGACATCCGGGAACTCTCACACTATAGGAACCTCCTCCACTGACCTATGCCTCATGGAATCAACCCGCGTATCCGACACGTACGCCACAAAACCCTTACAGCCCTGCTGTATGCACTGTCTCACCCTAGCGGCTGAACAAAACGCAGATCCAGAACGGGTACCCTCGCCGTACACTGTAAGAACTCCCCCACTAGGGTCTCGTATGGTCACTAGCTTTCGCTCACAATCGATAACCGCACCGAACTTGCTCAACCAGTCCATGTCCACGATGACACAAACATCCCCCATGGTAATAGGAACCAAATCAATCGGGAACTCAACACCGAAAATCTCGAGTACGCACCCACGGATCACCTCCGTGGCATATATCGCCTTCTCGTCAGCTATGGAAACTCTCACAGGCCGACTCTCAGGCTCCTTGATTTGGGATCAGCGGGCTTGGCCCGCTTGGCTGCCGGCTGGAATTGTGTCGGTCGCCGATCCCTCCCATGAGACTCAGCATCCTCCCTAGCCTGAGTCTCCAGCTCGATCTCCCTCTTCCAGGCATTTTCCTGAAGCTCAGCAAATGTCCGGTATGAGGAGTTCGCCACGAACTTCCGAATGTCTCGTCTCAAGATACTCAAATACCGACTCATACGTGCCTGCTCAGTGGACATGTGCTCAGGGCAGAACATCGCCCTCTCGTGAAACATCCTGGTAATCACCGTAACAGACTCAGTGCCCTGCTTGAGGGTCAGAAACTCCTGGGCCAATCGCTCCCTCTCCACCTGGGGAACGTACTCATCTCGGAACATGGCAGTGAACCTCTCCCAAGTCACTGCCGCAAGCTCAGCAGGCGAAAAGTGCGCTGTGACAAACTTCCACCAGTCCTTCGCTCCCAACGAAGTTGGTTCAGCACGAACCGTACTCTCAAATGCTCAGGAGATGAGCAAGTGAAGAAACATCCCTCTATGTCAGAAATCCATCTCATAGCCGCCACCGAGTCCTGTGTCCCATCAAACTCCGGTGGTTTCGTGTTGCTGAACTCCCGGAACAGCAACGCGTCACCACCTTGCGGCCTAGCAGCAGCAACAGCTGCAGTGGCCGCCACAACCGCAGCCTCAAAAAGAGCGGCATAACGCTCGTCGAAGGTCTCAATCAGCGCGGTCTTAATAGACCCGAACATCTCTGGTATCTCTGCCCTGATGACCGCAGCCACCTCCCCATGAATGATCTGTTGGATCTCCTCATCACTAGCCCCGACACCCTCCGGCATATGACGTGTCCTCACCATGATCAACCTCTGAAATACAACATACGATAAATTAGAATCCGCTCGAGCATACTCACACTCAACAACTCATCCCTCCTTGATCCTTGGTATTCCGAAGATTCTTACTTGGACCGTGCAACGCCCCGGTGCTTTCAGTAGTACGGGCCCAATACTATTGTTCACACCGTCTCAGTACACACCCCAAATCCTCCTCTTCGGATCCCAAATTCCAAGTACTCTATCACTCTCTAACAGATCTCTCATAAGCTCCTCGCTGCTACCTATTCACTCTCAAGCATCTCATAGCAGCTCACATCTCCCTAGGCTAAGGCATCACAAATCAGGGCACTCTAGTCCTAATAAGAATACCTAGCCTACTCTAGCAAGAGAATACATCATGTCGATTTTTCATAAACACATAATATAAGGGTATTTTGGGAAATCACCGTTCGGGCGCTGACTGATCGTACACACATTTCTTCTTTGAATTTTTCTAAAAATCCTTTACTTTTAGAAAAAATTTGGTTCTCTTTTGAATTTTTTTTTCCAAATCCTCAGTTTGAGTTCAAATACTCCCGAAGGTGTACCCGAATCCCTCAAACCAAGGCTCTGATACCAATTTGTAACACCATAAATTTCAAAACAAAATTTTCAATTTTTTTTATAAAACATAATTCATTTAATATTCAGGAAACAACCATATTTAATCATTCAATTCAAGTAATACAAAATCCCAAGATCTTAAAATCATAAATCCCACGTGTGTGTACTGATCAAGTCGGTGCCTTCCTACGGTCGTCACTAGTACCTGAAACGGATAACATCAAACACTGTAAGCACAAAGCTTAGTGAGTTCCCCAAAATACCACATATAACACATATTAGCCACTCGAGGCTATAACTTTGTGGGTCCGTGCACCCAAACTCTGTGAACCCTCAGGTTCTAACTCTGTAAACATGCACAACATAAATCACATAGAAATAATGTAGTACAACACATAACATACATATCATACAAATACTCTATCACATAACTCTGGTTACCTACTCAAGGTAAAGTATAGTGAGAAGACTCACCTCGCGTGTCTCGGTAATTCGTAAATCCTGAAATCACTAGTGCTCGATCTCCCGAGATACAGTCCTCCTATAGCACACTACATCTCTAATTAACACTTTCCCAACTAAGGTTGACTACCCCTTAACAAGTCAACTTAGGTCAACGGTCAACTTGGACCGGACTCGGGGAGTGCACTATAGCGACTCGGCGAGTCTGAGCGTATACACTGATTTCCCTGGAATCCTCCCTTGACACGTCGAGTATTCTCCCAACTCGAAGAGTTCCACCTGGCATGAGTTGTGGGGCCACCACGACTCAACTCGCCGAGTCTCAAGAACAACTCGGCGAGTCCAGCTTGATTCAGTCCACCTGTCCACTCTGACTCCCCCTGTCTCACTGAGTCAACCCTCCCCAACTCGGCAAGACCACTCGTTGTGTGGTCGGGGTAATATTCATACTACTCGCCGAGTCTGTTCTTCGTACTCGGCGAGTCCGTGCCATGCAATGACTCAAACTTGCTCATAAGGTCAGATCCAGTCCATTAACCCATAGATCCAGTCCTTAAGCTTATTTAGCACGTAAAGTCACTATCTTGATGCACATACAATATCTATATGACATAATGATGCTTTTGTCCCAAATACTACAACTCAAGGTCATAATCTCCATTGCTATACATAAAGCTTGATGAGTGAGGCTCTCTGGACCTCTATGGATCCAGATCCAGAGCCTCAACCAAGAAGGAACTATTTGGGCATCAAATCAACCCAATAATGCCACAAGAAACCCTAAATCAATTATACTTCACAAAACAGAAGATAAGCCGAATCATACCTCTAATTCGATGATCTAAGCTTCCAATCCACAGATAGCAACCTCCTTTTGCTTCCTCTTGTCTAGAATCCCCTCCTTCTTTGCTAAATAACACACAATGGTCAAGAATGCTTCCTTTCTCTCTCAAAACGTTCAAGCACTCAAGGGTTTCTCTCTCTGGGTTGGTGAGCCACAAATGACGGCCATAAGGCCCTTTAAATAGGTCTAAACCCCAGGAATTAGGGTT